TTGATGTTTATCATCCCACGGAGCAGTCTGACGGTTCATGATATCCGGGAAGGCGTCCTGCGTCGAGTTCTGTGGCGAAGTCAAGCGGGAGGTCTGACGTGTTTGACTTAAATTCCTTTCTTCTTTATGGTAGCAGGCGATTTCACCCCGCTTGAGGACCATTACCGTTGACGTGTGTAGGCTCCTTGATGTTGCTCGAATTAGAATAAAACGCTTATTTGTCACAAGAATGTTCACTTAAAACTCAATGTGTCTTCTGTCAACTAAATAACCATAGATGCGGACGAAGTCTACACTGCTGTTTATTCTCAGGGTTCCTTGGATTTTGTGAGCTTCAGCTCTTCAAACCTTTTTGAACTTAATCGGTAAGCTGGAACGCCATCCAGAACAACTGAATAAGTTTGCCTTACCTCATATATACCCTCTGCGTGAACTGCTACACGTGGTGACGGTTAAAAATTTATACGTATTGAACGCAGAAACTTTAGATGGCTAATTTCGCTGCCACCATCACCAAGGTTACCATCGACTACGAACTGTGTGGCCTGCAGTGAAGGACGGACCGAAGCAGCCATCATCGACATCACCTCAATTCAAACTTCAATCAAATTCGAGCTGCTAGATAAGTGATATGACTTTTCCAAGTATGGTAGGGAGGCCTAAGTACACTTATATCTCAATGAGTACATGAGACTGTTATAGCCCGCTCCATCATAGTATGCTCGGTCTAAAAATCGTGTATGAAATGCATAGTCCTTTCACTAGCCCAAAGCCGTTGCAGTATGGAAATTAACGTACTACTTATCAGGCGAACGATGGCACGAAACAGATCGTAGTTTGTTTATCAAAATACCGTTGTCGAATCCCTTTGAATGTAACTATGAAGTAACTATCTAATTGCAAGCTCCCCTATGATGAACTCAGTTCATTGCCTGAATAGTTGCTTGCCCAACTACATGTGTATCTTTAATAATGACGTTTTGTCGGTCAAATAAAGTCACGTGCGCTTTATTGATTGGTGGCTTTAAATGGACAAACATATATCAAGCCGCATTTCGATTCGGGCATAAAAAATTAGGAGTAGATGACTAGTTCTGAAAACGAAATGGTGAGAGAGTTGCTTGTGTTTGCAAATGATGCCATTTATGAAGACTGTTGGGTTTTCGCCTTGGAACACAAAATTGCTATGGGATACTGCCAAGTTCTCGGGACCTCAGGGTTGGTGTCATTTCTATTAACAATGCCCACTGTAATGTTTGGACTATTAAGCGGAATCGCACTAGTTGCTGCTGTAGGACGGAACACTGTGTGGCGAGCGAAGCTGCGATTGTATGCAGTTACCCAGTTTATAATTGATTTTTTGTTCTCAACTGTTGTGGGCATTATGCACTTGTTTCTGTGTTACGGTCTCCCGTGGCTTAGCTATGGTGGTGTGTATTTGCACAAGAATAGTGATCTGGATTGCCGCATAGTGCATTTTCTCTACTCACTTTCATTTAGTGCAATGAGCACTCTCCTTCTAGCAAGTACTTTGGACTTCGTATTATCAGTACGATTTGATGGACAAGCATCTCCTACATCAACCAGAACAGTAGTGTTTGGAAGCATTTTGCTGGCCATCGTATTCGCGTTGCCAGATCTTGCCGTTTGCAGCCTCTGGAATTTAGATGGTAGGATCTATTGTTCCACATCGGCCACACTGCCACGTATTGTGATTTTATTGGCTGAACTGCACCAGTTTTTTCTTGTGCATGGAAGCTCTCAGTGCATATCCACATTTGTACTGCTCGGAATCCTTTCAAAAACAACCAAATCATTGGACATTACTGTAAGTCTGTTATACGGAGCATCTCAGATAAAGGATAACGTTTGCAACGCAGCATACGAAGCTTCGGAGGTAACGCGCCACCTAAAAGAAAAAGCAAACTTTATTTTAGTGCGATCTGCATTGATGGGAACCACTCTCCTCCTCAGGGCACTACTGTGTCTTTATCTTGATAATCGACTTTATTTCCTCCAGGAAGAAAGACGGAGTGATGCGCGCACCATACTCTACACATTTACTGGCGTTAAACACATACTGGACTACATGGTGATACTGGCTTCCATTTTCCATTACTGGTTATATTATTTCAACTTTGAATGCTTACGGAATGATCCATTGAGAAGTAAAACTAGTGATCAAGATGGTTTGGTGATGCCGGTACATCCAAATCCGAGAGCCTCTCTCGTCCGTTTGAGACAGCTGATAACATTCGTATGCAAATTCGACTATGATTTATGCAAACAACTGCAATCGCTCCAGCCAGCTATATCAAAAACCACAGTTAGACGTTTGGACAGGGAAGAAGCCGTCCGATCACATCTGCTTCTCCGGAAACCTGAAAAGTAAGCAAAGACTGCAGTCTAGTTGAAAGGCGGTCAGATCAATGGATTAGTACTCATTGATGTTCCTCGACCTATTCGATCAAAAATGACATTTGAATGAGTGTCAAATTACAGACCAAAAAGCAGAGCAGTGAGTGCTATTTCAGTCGACATCCGCAATGACTGTGGAGCGATTAGCTCTAAACCAAATCTAAGTAAACATAACTGAAGAAACGCTAAATTTACTGGTGCTTTCTAAATGTTACCCATATGTATGCAAATTTTTTCTATCCGGAGGACATCTTACTTTGGTAATTTTTCAGACGCTTGCAGTGTTAAAGTATGTTTATTATGCTTTGCTTTTTGATTCGCTGGATCTATACAAACATTAACTCTGTGCAAGCACTCCAAAAATGTCGCTTCATATGCCTCAGAAGAATTAAAAAACTATTTCAAACGTAAATGAGTGGCGATGTGACGACAGTGCAGCAGAACCTACGGATGTCTATCTCCAAGTAATCAACTCGGCTGATTAAAAGTGGTCGCGTGAGAACACGTCCACGCATCGACACGAAGCCCGAGGAACATGGAATTGAACAGAACACGGAAGTCTATGGAAACAAAAGGGGCGCAGAATGTCAAATGAGTCAAAGCCTACCCCAGTTAGCCCAATTGATGGAACCTCAGTGACCATCTGTGAGTATCACTACTGGAGATCGCGCTGGCTGACCAGCTTTATCAAAGAAGGTACCCAATCCTCAAAAATAGCGTTTCTTGTGGTTATCCTCTGCGATTCACCCCAGTTTCTCGAACCGCATAAGTATCCTGCATCTATACCCTTTGAACTCAAAATGCATATCTTTCCTAATGCTCCCAGTTTGGATGATCTTGCATCTGCAGTGTTGAATGATAATGGCAAAGTCCGCAGGCATTTTTCTCTCACTTATTTGCCTCTACTTAGGGGGAGATCATTCTAGAAATAGGAGGGCAAATTTACTATAGAGTTTATCTTAAAAAGTTGACTCACATTGAATATGGCGAAAACAGAAAAATAAGCCGAGCTCCTCTTGTAACGGGATTCTTTTTAATGCGCCTGTTTTTTTTAAACTTTTTCTATCCTAAATAAATGATAACGAAATAATGACTAACAAGCGAAAAAAAGTATTTCGGCTCCGTAAAGGTGAGATTGATCACATGTCCACAACACTCCAGGTGACAGAGCAATAGCTTACATGTATATGCTCCAAATCTTGGTATTCGGGAAATTCCAGGGTACATTTCATTTCGTTGACCAGCACGTTTTCCTTAACATGCTTGCTTCTTAAGGGTGCTCTGGGAGTTCTGAATATAACGGATTTGTGTTTATTTGCGGTCAGCTAAGAATGATCTCTATTGTTTACTGGTTTTATTACTGACTGTATCCAAGATTGCAGGAGCACAATGTGATTAGTCACTGGTAACCCAGGAGACTCAGCTCGACCAGGATATCGCAAACCGGTGATGCGTGCACCTTGTGCTGCTCCATAGCCAATTAGATTATGCCCGACTTTGATGCTAATCAGAAAAACCGATGACTTCTGTCATGAGGTTGTCAGTGCTGTTTGTCTCACGAATCTGGTGATAGATTGACATCTGTCATCACCCTACTATTACCACTGTCCCGCTATGTATGCTGTCTGGGATGCCATTCATACTGGCTTGTTCGGGTAGATGCTGATACAATGACCATTCTGCTGGGGGCATAGGCATAATCGGGGGATCCTGATCCTGAAAGCGTGAACCGCTTTCATTTGCTGGAGAAGTAAGGAGCTAATAAGAGGTGGTCCTAATATGCGCGACTGAATGGGAACGAAGCTAATTCAGACAACTACGGTTGAAATAATGTCGACCATAACAATGCTAACCAAAATCCGATGTTGTGTATGGTCACTCTAAATCGCCGTAACTTGAGGCCAGAGAGTAGCACCCTTTCCTCTAGACTGGGCGTTGTGGGCGTAGTATTGTAGTTTATACTAATTTCTATCGCTTTCAGGTAAAAAAAGCAAGCATTCGTTCACAGAGGACTGCTAATCGTGGAAATTTTTTACCGTCCAAATACTGCTTGTTAGGGCTGATAACCGCTTTGGTAGCACTGATTGCAGTACATCTGAAGAGACACCGAATCAAAATTCCGGCTTTCAGCTGAACACAACTGGCTAGCCAAAAAAGTTTCGAAAAGTGTTTTCAGATATACATTTACTGGATGGAATAACCGGCAACTAGAAAACGAGACCATGATATTGACCGATCTCATCTGCGCGATTGAGTTATCGTTCGCGAGCAAGAGGCTGGTAAATTGTGCATCACAAAAGTGACCGGAGAAGCCGGTAGCGATAGAGATCACCAGTTCGTCCGAACAGAGCACAAAATCTAGCTGTATAAAAGCACACTTCACCAACTGCATCAAGGGGTCCATACAGATTGAGGGTGACAGTTTTAACGATTTGGATATCAGGTTGATACATCAGCATTGACTGACAAAAATTAATCCACACACTGCAGTTGTAGAAGCGTGGCACAACTTGAAGTACTGAATGCTGATCATGGCAGTCGATCAGATCAGGGGAAAGCTCTCGAGTTTCACTAACTGTTTTGACAAAGACAAACAGCATGTAAAGCAGCAGGTAACTAAAAAAGGAATTTTTACCGAACCTCTTGCCCATCCGGACGGCATCGTCGAGAAACAGCAAGTAAACGAAGTTTGAAATGACACGATTGGGCAACTCAGTCGCACTGAAGACAAATGGTGGAGAAAGCTAAGTGCCACATTGTTTGACGGTATTAGAATCCCCCTTTGTGCTGAGCAAACTCTCCAGGATCTTGACACAGGACTTAACCAGGCGTCATTTACACAGAAACCGAATAAATAGCACAAGCACCTCAAAGATAACTGAAACTTCCATTGGACTGCAGTGAACACACTTCCCGATCATCATTATCACCACCATCATCATCATCATCATAATCAGCAAGAGAGAGGGAGAGAGCATAACATCAGTGCCCAACATTGATGCTTCACTGCTGCACAACCATGTTTTGTTTGAAAGCCTTATTATGAAGAAAAGTAGACGGGGAGGGGACCTAGTGCTAGTCTACCACAATCATCTCGAAACACCTGCACCTCCGGAAGCTAATTCAGTCAATCAGGATAGAAACTGGTCACAAAAACGCCAATGAAATCGAGTGGCATCCAACCAAGGGCATTACGGATTATGTGGTATGCACGCTGGAATGTGAGCCGCATCAACGGTAGTCAGGTGTTTCGTAACATGTCCCGTACCCCTCTATCTGGTTGGCCGACTCCCTTCTCCCACCACTCCGAAATGGGCACGGAACACAGAACTTTACTCAGCAAACAGTGGTTCGGCATACGCAGTGTATGGCCTAAACACCATAGCTTCTTGTGCTCAACACATTCTTTGACGGAAGTTCCCACTGCACAACTGAACACTTGTTCTCTGATTGCCTTGTTACGGGTTAGCCGACACGAACCCACGCGAGGTATGCTTGCCGAGTTACCGTTGCCTCAGAGCAACGGTTGTTGAAGACCTTAAGACTTCTAAGATCTGCCGATTTCTATCAGCCGAGTCTCAGTCATACAACAAAACAGCCCTAACTATAGCCTGCTCCACATGTTCTTTGAGATTCGGGGGTATACCAGTTTGACACTGTAGGTGTCTCAAATTAGCAACCGTAAAGCGCATCTCACAGATTCATGATAAAACGTAAGTGTAGGGAAGGCGTCAACGTATGGGAATTATTATGGGCCTTCAGGCACAGCAAATGAAAAGGTAAGTGTTAGCTTGTCAACTCTTTTATCATAACTGAGCTTCGGCTTTGTCCTCATCAGATGCGGCAAGATCTAGCCAAAAAATGACGGCAAAATTTGGAATAGCAGAGGAAAAAACAGGTTGTTCAGAATTACGCCATTGTGAACTTTTTCGGCCTCATTTGTCATCACACAGGCACCGACCAGGTGAACGTAAAAACCATAATCAGAAATCAAGAATTTCAACTGAAAGGTACTCAGTATGGATGCTGTACACAAGAACCAAGTGGCACATAACTCTGATTCCGGTATTTTGCGGATAAAGTTCTGGCCTAAGTTGTACGACCAACAAACATTTGAGATAATTCAACGGAATGCTTCATACACTTCTTATGTTGGTTGAAAAAGTCACGGAAGTCTCATTCTTTTATTCGCAGTTCGAAAGGTGTTTGCTGATAGTAGAAGTCGAATTCTGATTAAACGTAGAATGACGGTTGGTGGATTGATTTAAACCGTTCAAGGTTTACCTAGGAATGTCTTATATTCACGCTTTAGGTCTTGCTGTAGTGCTTCCCACATAGACTCCACTACAGCTTCAGGTGACGTGGTTAGTACATTGTGATTCCAAGCGTAAATTAGATGTGTTTTTAACGTTAATGGTATACTCCTAGTTTTCAGAGGCCAACGCAGCTGTGCAACGTTATAGGTAATTTCTACCCTGATGCAGTAGAAACTTATGCGGGTGCGTTTTTATTCTCAGGGTATCTTCACGTATGTAGTATTTATGGCTTTTCCTGGTCCCGTGTAACAATGTACGATTTAGCGAATATCTTAGTGTGTTGGATAGTTGTCTGATATTACTGCACGCAGGTAGGATCACGATAAAACAAGCTGCTCATCGCCCCTTCTGACTGCTATTTTATCAAAGTTTGAACTGCAAGAGTCATCGTTCTTGAAGTCACTAGTGAAATAGGGTTTATAACTGGGTGAACAGATGACGGAAATCGTTTCTCTCATATTCGAGGGCTGATGAGCGACGACAGAAGTATTATTCCAAGCGATGTTTGTATAGGTGAAATCGACTTTCATGTTGCCCTGTATTTACCTCCATCTTCGCCATAGAAAGACCAGTCATACATTCGTCCAACGGATATCTTATTGCTAGGTCTTAGATTTTCAACATAGTGGAACTGCCAAATGTCAATCAAATCGACCAT